TGGGATTACAGGTGTGAGCCACCGTGCCTGGCCCCGTGACAAGCCTTTTAAATGCTTATTGTAGAGACAAGAAACAGGGGAGCCTGGCTCCGTTTTGTAAAAGATGGATGATTTTTCTAAACTACACCACAGGGATGACCTGGTGACCGGGGAGATGGATTTTTAAGACGTGTTTCTGTGCCTGACCGGAAACTTCACCAATGTAGTAGCTGAGCCTGGAAGGCAGGGATCTGCACAGCCTACAAAACAGACACGTCCTTCAGAGGAACGGCTGCGAGGAAGGGTCCGTACTCGGTGCTGGGACCCGCTGCAGAGGGCGGCAGCAGGGAGAGGCTCTGAAATACTTCACACGCGGGCGGGAAACGCTCATGGCTCCGTGTTTTCATTCCACCCCCTCCCCTCTGTGTTCTTTTCTGCCGTTTGCTTCCAACACGTGAACAGGTAAAAAGCCTGACAGGTAAAACCCAAAGCCTAACTGGCTGCTGCCTGTGAACACGCCAAATAAAACGGGGGGTCTGAACCTCTTCAAGTCAAATAAAACCTAGGGTCCGAACCTCTTCCCCAGGAGGGCCAGGGTTGCAGCCGGGAGATGCCAGGTGGGGAGGACACTGGAAGAGGAGAAAACCAGGAGCGCAGGAGGGGGTGGGAGACTGGGATGCCGCAGAGAGGAGGCCTGAGGACAGCAGAGAAGGAGGCGGGGACGGAGGCCAAGGGCTGGAGGGGCTGCCAGGTCTTCTGTGGGAGGCAGCAGGGACCCTCTATCCCTCCATCTGACACCGCCGGGAGCCTTCCCGGGGAGGCGGCGTCTCTCCTTCCCTGCATGTCCCTGGGACTTTCTGTGGACTGTGGCATAGAGAGTCTTTTGCATCCGGAGCTAAGCCTCAGTGAATCCCTTCTGCATTCCTACAATGCTCATTAAAAGTTTGACCTTAGATGCTTAGTCTGCTGATACAGAAAAGATGAAAATAAGAGCTTTGTGAAAGAATAACGTGAGGTCAGAATTGCCTTTCAATTCCACTTAGTCTCTGTCTTGAACTACTTAAAAACAAGAAAAAAATCTTCCTCTAATATGAACCACATACTCTGTACAAACCAAGGGTGAAAATAAAAAGTTATCCTGTCATTCAGCCGCAAGTCTTCCCAGTAAAAAAAAGGAATGTAATTTATAAACATTACTTCTCTCTTCTAATTCTTTTAAATCTTATCCATACACTAGGACCCACAGACAAATTCCTTTAGTTTCACTATTTCCTGGCTGTGAAATAAAATCTGGGTTTGTGAGGACCCAGAAACCTAAACTTTTCTACCAGAAAGTTTAATGCAATCGACAGGAAGGGACAGTCCTGCACAGGCATCTTTGAAAACGCCAGACATCAATGCAGCTGGGTCCTAAGACAGAAGCAGTCTGAGGAGGTGGCACACAGCTCCTGATATTCAGCTTCATAGATCATTCCACGAGGGTCCAGTGGTGACCACTGGGGACAGTGAGGAGGGGAGAGAAGTCACCGAGCTGCATCCCCGAAAGAGGTGGTTTCACTGGGAGGTGGATGTGGGGATGCAGGGAGCTTGCTACTGCAAGAAAGTGCCCTTGTGAACAAGCACCATGAAAGCCGTGGCTGCAGATGTCCTCCCATCCTCCAGGCAGTGCTTCCCAATGTTGGCACGATAACGCTCTGGGTTCAGTTTCCGAGGATGTTCACCTGAGTGGACATGAGAGGGAGGCTGGTGGCCATGGCAGGTGTTGTGCTGCATGCAGGGCCGCCGTCCCCCATGGAGAAGCAGACGAAGCTGTTTGCAGGGAAGCCCTGGTGGGTGTGAGGCCTGGTGGCTGCTTTCTCCTCTCTTTCCTCTCTGTCTTGTGGCCACGTCATTGAATTCCAGGGGGATTTCACCTCAATGTTGTGTCCCCAGAATCACACCTTTTCCTGGGGTCAAATCACAGCCTGTCATTCTTTTTTTTTTTTTTTTTTTTTTTTTTTTTTGAGACGGAGTCTCGCTCTGTCGCCCGGGCTGGACTGCAGTGGCCGGATCTCAGCTCACTGCAAGCTCCGCCTCCCGGGTTCCCGCCATTCTCCTGCCTCAGCCTCCTGAGTAGCTGGGACTACAGGCGCCGCCACCGCGCCCAGCTAGTTTTTGTATTTTTTTAGTAGAGACGGGGTTTCACCGTGTTAGCCAGGATGGTCTCGATCTCCCGACCTCGTGATCTGCCCGTCTCGGCCTCCCAAAGTGCTGGGATTACAGGCTTGAGCCACCGCGCCTGGCCAGCCTGTCATTCTTTACCTGTTACTATAAAAAGACATCACATTTTGAAGTCTGGAAAATGCGTTTTGCTGGGACAACATCTCGGCCCAACCCAGGTTGCTCCCTGCCCTGCTGGCTCTCAGCGCTCGGCAGAGTTGTGGGGGGACCCCAGAAAAAGGGAGGTTTGACCTGGCCTCTGCCCTCAAGGTTCTTACAGGCTTGCCAGGAAACCCGGCTGATGAACGTAAAGGTACCTGGTGACCCACACATGTACGGTGAGAGGCCTCGGGGCAGGGAAGTCCAGCAGTGGGTGGCCGGCTGCAGAACAACAGGACCAGAGTGTCTGAAATGACCCCATGGCACGGAACTCAGACTGACAGACACAATCAGACCAACCAGCTGGTTCCAAACAAAGAAAATCCAGGAGAAGGACGAGCGGACAGACAGGAGAAACCTCAGCCTGAACGAGACGAAGAGGCTCATCACCAGCTGCCAGGTGGGCCCCTTCTCTGGATCCTGATCCAAATAAAAGCCAACAAGAGACAGCGAGCCCTCAGGGGAATGTGACCACTGACCAGGCTGATATTGTTTTCAGTATCTCATAATGCAGGTGGTTATGCTTCAAAAGAAAGCATCCTCATTGTTCCGTGTGGATCTTTTGGAGATCAACACAGGCATATTTACAGTTGTATCTGTCTGCCGTGTGGGATTTGTCGCAGTGAAGCCTGGGTGGGAAGGCGTGAGTGCAGAGGGAATGAGGTCACTCTCGGAGGGATGGTGTTTGAAAGGGACTGACGGTGTGCAGGTTCATTCTGTCTCACTTCACCTTTGTGAATGATTGGTATTCCCTGCACCTACACCATGGAGTAGCTGTTGGAGGTGGAGAGAAGCGTGTGCCTGGGAGGAAGTGTGTGGGAGAAACTCCTGGGAGAAGGCAGGTCCAAAGGGCACAGGACCTGAGGAGAAGGCATGGATAGAAGGGCTGGGGACGAGTGGCAGGCATTGGAGGCAGGTGACCCTGGGGCAAAACCTGGAGGCTCTGACAGCGTCCTGAAGTGTTCACTCAGGGAACAGACTATACACCCCAGTTACAGACAAAAACAAGAGAGCTGTGTGTCTGTGACAACGAGGAGACCGATCAGAGTGAACCCCAATTCTTTACAGCAGGTTTCTCTAAACAAGCAGACACAACTTTTGCATTTGGATATGATTAGGGTTTGCAAACAGCAAACAAAATTTGTGCCTCTTCCATTGCTATAAAATAATATTTTATGCAACTACCAATTTGTCTCTGAATAAACCTGCCTGCAAAGGCAATTTGGTTAGCATTTCCTTTCAGAACAGAGCTATTGAGACGTGGACGCTGGACCTGACGGCGATGGTGCCGCTGGAAGCATTTGCCACCACGACTCCCAGAAAGCATCACGGCTGCTGGTTCTCGCTGCCCCGTTAGTTGACTGCCCGTTGGCTCAGCCATCAACGTCCCGTTCGTTACTCCATGAAGACATCTCCAACCCAACGTGCAGCCCACAGCTGCTGCTCTAGGCAAGCAGGAGGGATTTGTGAGTTGGGACACACAAGTTATGTTTTGTTAACAGCACTATTGACTGAGGGGAGTCTTCACTTAGCAGCATCCTCAGAAGTAGCGTGTGCTTCCCAGAGGACTTCCCCAGTAAACTCCGGCATAGCACAATTCAGAGACAGAGAGGGAAATCACATAAAACAGACAATTCCGCAATACGCCAGCTCTAGGGATGTACCTTCTTTCATTTGTTTTTGCCTTTGGTAAATTCATTTAAGCCACACCCCAGAGACACAGAGGCCTTTTCCATAATCAGGCTCTTTGTGGTGGTGGGGCTTAGAGAGGCTGCAGTCAGCTGCAGGGAGTGAACTCACAAATGTCGCAGGCCCATTTCCATTAGGCCGGTCCATCAGCTTTCACGTGGAAAACATCCACATAGGCTAGTCTGTGTTTGCTGTGGTTGTTAAACCCTCCAGCCTTAGAGGCATTAAAGAAATGGCCCACTGTGTTTAGAGGGATGGTTCCCAGGAGGAATTGGGATCTCCAGAGGCCCTCCCAGAGAAGGCCGGAGTCACGCGTGAGAGCTGCCTGTAAATAACGTCTTGCCATTCCTGCAGCCCCACACACAAAGCCATAGCGTGCGGTCAACCCTCGAGTCTACCAGCAAATGATGGATAAAGAAGACGCGGTACATACACAGGGGACACTATTCAACCTTTGAAAGAGGGAGACCTGCCACTCTCCACAACATGGGGAAGCTGGAAGAAACTGCAAAGCAGGATGAGCCCGGCGCACACAGAGGCCACACGGTTGCTCTCACAGGTGGCATCTGAAACAGCTGAACTCATAGAAGCAGAGAGTGGAACTGTGGTTACCAGAGGGACTGGGGATGGGGAGGAACTGGGAGATGTTGGTCAACGGACATTTCAGTGAGGAGGGGTCAGCTCAAGAGACCTGTTGGCCAGCACAGTAGCATCAGTTAACAACCGTGTATTGAATACTTGGAAATCACCCAGAGTGGATTTTAAGTGTTCCCACCACAAAAGAAAAAACGTATGTAAGGTAATGTGTGTTTTAACAGCTCAGTGGAGCGGTCCCAGAACATATCCGTATATCAGAACATCCTGTTGCACACCCTAAATGTGTATGCAGTTGTCATCTGTCAATGAAAAATGGAATAACGACAAAACCACCTGCTGTGCCGAGTGGGCCTCCACAGGGCCCTGCGCCTGCTTACCTGGAGGTAGTGGCACGGCCTCAGGGCGGGCTTGGCGTCCTGGTGCAGCAGCGGCTTGTCCAGGTTCAGCGAGCTCTTGCGGTAGGCCTCCTTGGCCTGGCTGACCGTCAGCGTGGACCAGGAGCTGCGCTTCAGGTACTTGGCATCGGGTGTCAGCGCCAAACCCTCGCAGGCTGAGCATTTGACGTCGTTGTTGCTTTTGGAGGTCTTGAGGGACAGGTCCCCAAACGGGCTCTGCAGCGCGTCGGGGTAGCAGTGGGCCACCGGGCCCAGGTGGTGCCGGTTGAGCACGCTGGGCGTCCGGTAGGTGCTGTCGCTGTCCAGGTTGTCGTCCGAGCTCCACCAGCTGCTCACGCCGGGCCGGGGTTTGCCCTCGGGCTTGCGCTCCTTGCTCTTGCTCCTCTTGCTGTGCTTGGCGTGGTGGGCGTGGTGGTGGTCGTCCGCCCGGCCGTCCGCCTTGGTGCCGTTGGCGTTGCTCTTGGAGGAGCCCTCCAGCGAGTGCGACTTGGTGAAGAGCTTCTGCACGGAGTGTACCAGGTGGCGGATCCGCCCGGGGCTCTCGCTGCGCTGCTCGGCGGCCGCGGACGTCCGCTGGTACTGCAGCGTGTGGAAGCCGTCCCGGTGCAGCGGCAGCTGCTTCTCGAACTGGTCCAGCAGGTTGGCCGGGATGCGGTTGATCTTGGTGCCCGCGTGGGCCACGGCGCAGTCGTCGCGCGTGTCGTAGTGCGAGCTGTAGTGCATCCGCGGGAAGGTGCTGCTGGACACGTGGTCGCCCAGCACCACGGGCATCATCACGCACTCCGAGTGCACCGAGCTGCGCGGCGAGCAGCGGTGGCGCCCCCCGGGGCAGCTGTCCGCGGGGCTCAGCAGGTAGGGCGGCCGCGCGTCGGGCCCGCGGTGCAGGTGCTCGCAGTCCTCGGGGGGCGCCAGACCGCACGTGTGCCCGGGACACAGCGGCGGCTGGGTCCGACTTCCGGAGAGGCCCTTCATGCTCCTGGGCGCGGGCGAGTAGCGCTCCTCATTGAAGTGCTGCGTGGGCGACCATGAGTACTGCGGGTCTGCGGGGAAACAGAAACGGCATTCAGCACCCGGAAGCGCGGCGGAAACCCCCAGGCACGGGGAAGGGGAACGTGTGACCCCCCACCGTGGGCTGTGTTTTCAGTAATCAGTGTCCGTGTCTGGCCTGGGCACTCGAGAGGGCAGGTTTGTGGTTTCTGGTTTTTTTTTCTTTCTTTTCTTTTTTTTTTTTTTTGAGACAGAGTCTTGCTCTGTCGCCCAAGCTGGAGGATAAGGGCGCGATCTCGGCTCACTACAACCTCCGCCTCCCGGGTTCAAGCGGTTCTCCCGTCTCAGCCTCCCAAGTAGCTGGGATGACAGGTGCCCGCCACTGCCCCGGCTAATTTTTGTTTGTTTGTTTGTTTGTTTTTTGAGACGGAGTATCGCCCCGTCGCCCAGGCTGGAGTGCAATTGCACGTTCTCAGCTCATTGAAACCTCTGCCTACCGGGTTCAAGCCATTCTCCTGCCTCAGCCTCCTGAGTAGTTGGGACTACAGGCAGGCGTCACCACGCCCAGCTAATTTTGTAATTTTAGTAGAGGCGAGGTTTCGCCATGTTGGTCAGGCTCGTTTCAAAGTCCTGACCTCAGGTGATCACTGGCCTCCCACAATGCTGGGATTACAGGTGTGAGTCACCGCGCCCGGCCACGCAGTTGTTTTTATATCACAAAGTGTGAGGAGTGGAGAGGGAACACTGATGTTCCCAAATGGTTAATGACCAAGATTTAGCAGCTAGTAGATTCAACAGGTCTCTTGACAGCTGGATTTTGTGGTATTAAAGGAAATTAACAATTTGGGGGAAAAGCATAGTTGTATTTCACTTAGATTTCAGTTGTGTGGTACAGCTTAAGAAGTTTTAAAAATAGGATCTGGTATTTGATGGGTGATATTGTCTGGGAAGCTCATGTATCACATACACACATATTAATTGTGAAATCATTTGTTCAGTTCACATTCTTACAGGCCAGTGAGGATGGGAGGGGCTTTCTCGAGGCCCCATCTGTGTGGGGGCAGCTATGCCTCCTTTCTCAGAGGCCAGGCTGCATGCCCTCCCACCCGACTCCTCCCAGAGGCCAGGCTGCATCCCCGCCCACCCCACTCCTCCCAGAGGCCAGGCTGTAACCCCTCCCACCAAACTCCTCCCAGAGGCCAGGCTGCATCCCCTCCTACCAAACTCCTCCCAGAGGCCAGGCTGCATCCCTGCCCACCCAACTCCTCCCTGTGCCCTTCTTCGGCCTGCAGTGAGCTTTCCCTGAATGCCTGGGGGAGTGAGGCCGTGGCTACAACACAGCACAGCCTGTCTTATGGCCGCTGAGCCACCAAGGGGCAGGTCGCTTGCTCTCTCCTCTCTCCCTAGGAGGGCAGCTGGGCGCTGGGGTGACCTGCAGAGAAGGAGGATCTGCCAGCTCCACGGCCTGTTGCTCCCCCTGGTCTCTGCACCCACATCTTCCTCCTCCTGGCAGGCCCCCCACAACCCCACACCTGACTCCTCCATCCCAGGCCCCTCCCTTCCCAGACCCTCCTCCTTGTCACCAGGACCATCATGATGGCCTCCTCCTCTGTCTCCCTCTCCCCTGCCTCCACCCAGACATAGCTGTGGGGCTGTCCCCCTCAAATGCACCCCAGCCCATCCACCAACTTTTAGGGGAGCCCTGTCTTCTTGGCCTGTAACCAAGTCCACGGCTAGGACAGCGAGCTCCCTGCGGGCTCAGCTGCCTGCCTTGTGACAGCCATGGGCCACCCTGGAGCAGTGCCAGGCCCAGACCAGACGTCCGAGCTCTGTGATGACCAGAGGAGCTGCTGAGCCTCCCTCTGCCTCACGGTCCACACGTCCCTGTGAGTCTGCTGGGCCTTAAGCACACCGGGCTGCCATCATTTGTCGATGTCGCTGCCTGGGTTCTGCTGCCTCTGCTCCCAGGCCTGGAATGCATCCCCTGCATTCACTCCAAGACCCGGCTCCACACCACTCGGCCTTGCTGTGTGCTGTCCTCGAGGCCAAAGACCCAGACAGGAGCAAGAAGTGGCCTCCTCAAGGGCTGAGTGTGGCCATCTCCTCAGGAAGGGAACTATCCCCCGCACGTTTGTCCAACAGCTACCTCCCCTGGGCCATCTCCATGCCTTGGATCCCAGAACGAGTTCCTGCCTGCCAGCTCCCCTATCACCATAAGCTTCTCTTCCACTTGCTCCTCTCTCCCCACCACCCTCCGCAGCCTGAGACGCACCCCTGCCTGCAGTCCTGGGGTGAGTCCGTCATGCCCCTGCACTCACAGAGCCGCCCACTCTGACTCCCTGAGCAACGTGGATGCCGGGGAAAGCAAGCGGAGTGATGGGGAGTGAGAGTTTTCCCATTGCGTCCAACCCCAACCCTCCAGGTAACCAAGGCAAAAAAACAAAAAAACAAAAACAAAAACAAAAAAAAACAAAAAACAAATCCCCTGCTGAGAAAGTTTACCAAATGACTAATCCTAGGTATAGCCTCGAAACGTCCCGTTTCACGATCCAGGGCTGCTGGCCGTCTGGGCCAGCATGGCCACGGAAACATGGGATAAGGAAGGGATGCAATTTCATGGGTCCTTGGGAAGTCAGGGACCAGCTTCTCACATCCAGGTGTGAAAGCAGAAGGGAATATAAAGATTTCCTGAGGGATCCCAAGACTGACAGCAAGGTGTGGGGCTGTTTCTCCCACTGAGGCCAGCAAAGCGATTTCTCCTGCATCCTCTCACAGTAAACAGTCTCCAGTTCAAGGATAAACAGATCCCTTAACTTCAAAGTGAGCCTCACTGTGTTATATTTCAGGTGCCCACGCCGTCTCACAGGAGCACCTGCTGTAACGGCCCGGCTGCGTCTTCCTTTCTCAAATAGTCAAATTATAACGAGGGCACTTTAATATATTGGGGGAATATTTAGATATTATTTTAATATAATTAAAAGCAAGTTTCCAAATGAAATTCAATATTCAACTGCTAAATAGCAAAACTATGTGCTGTAATCCAGACTTTACAGCAGCATAAAGTTGTCATCCTATTATCTTTTACTTTGTTTTTCCATTAACGTGTAATTTAATACAATTCTAATCTCCCTTCATATTTAAAAGCGAGTCCATTACTGCCCCACTCACGTATCCTATTTCTGCCTAATGTTTAGCCCAGAAGCTATCTTATGAATGTGGCTCCATAAAAGAACGGCATAAAAGATAAAATTTAACTGAAATGAATTAAATTTGATTGTGCCACATGTTGATACCACATTCTCATTTCCACTATACAGGACTGGATTTCCTGATGGATGCATGGAAACATGTACTTTAAAATATTATCACAATAATGACAATGGCAGCATGCTGTAAACAGTGGCAACACTAGAACGTGTAATGAGCACTGAGCTAGGTTTTTTTGGGTTTTTTTAGATGTACACGATGTGTATAATAAATACTTAGGGGCTGGTAATTTCTTTTTGTGAAAATGAGGTCGCAAACACAAAAGGCGGAAAGCATCTTAGTTTCCTAATTTCCAGCTCTTCACGACACCATTTTTGTCATTAAGAGAAAAAACAGCAATTATAGTCATTATTCATGAACGTACAACCATCTCCCCAAATTCAGAATAGAATGTAAATGCAAGTCTTACTGTTGCACTTATAGGGCGGCTGGCCTACCCAATCTAAACAGCATATTGTGAGCGTAGGAATAAAAACGTGAAGAACGCAGTGAACGTTTACAGGGTGCACGCCATGCTTGTGGGACTGTTCCTGGGAGGTCCCCTCCAACCCTCCATCCCTTCATGGAGCACTTACAGGGTGCACGTCGTGCTTGGGAGGCTCTTCCCTGGAGGTCCCCTCCGACCCTCCGACAGTCTTCACGGAGCAGCGCTTACCCTGTTGCAGGCTGAGGAAACTGAGGGTGGGTGGGCAGCATTCCCACATCTTACACTTGGCCGCTGATGGATGGGAAGGTAGTGTTTGGAGCCTTACTCTCCTACTTTCTTGTCCAAACCCAGCGAGTAGTTCCACACGGGGCTGACCTGAGCCAGCCAGCTGCCTGCACACCTCGGTGACGATCTCAGCCCAGGGCTTTGGGGAAAGCCTGCAGCTTACCCAGGGCAGCCACCAGTGTGAGAGCAGAGAGGAAGAGGCCGAGCACAGGGGTCCTCCCCAGCCTTCCCCTGACTACAGGCAATGGGGGGCCCTTCCCACTAGGAATGCCAGTTCTTCCTCCCTGCCTGAAGCTCGTCTGACCCAGCCTTATCTGCCTGCATTTTCTTCTGCTTAGGAAAGGGATGGGGAGACCCTCAGCATGTATCTCTCCTGCCCTCCATCCTAGAAAGAATTGCCCTGCTGGAAGTGGAAGCCTGCTGAACTTAAAGCAAAAACCAAACAAACCAAGACAAAACAGAACAACAAAAGCTTTATAAAGTGGACCATGGAGCGAGTTTCTAAATAAAAACTGATATACTCTACCACAGTGTATTTTTCACAAACTAGTTAAACATAAGCAACGTTTCCTCAGAAACTGTAATTGCAGTTGTTGAACATGGTGAGACAGCCCTGGTGGTGCTGGAGTCACACTGACTCTCTCGGCCATCCTGGTCTTTCCATCTGCTCTGCTGTCCCTTTCTCTGTCCCCCAAGTGATACCTGCTCATCCTGCTTCTCTTAAAGCCCCCCAGGCCCTGGAGCCCACCCTGCCATTGGTCAAAACATTGGTCAAACACAAGTGCAAACATAGGCCAAGGATCATAGTAAGAAAGAGAGATTGAACCTATTCCTGTATTTACTGTATGATGGTATGAAAGGCATAGTCCACCATATGGCAAAAGGAACCTATCTGAAGCCCCATTTTTAAAAAGTTCCTTAAAACGTTAGCAAAAAGTATAAGATTTGAATGCCGACAGCTGTCAAGCATTGTTGACAGAAATTGTGACAATCTAGATACATGGAAAGACATACCATATTCATGGATTGGAATGCTTAATCCAATGGTTAAGACGTGGTTAAGACAGAAAGAAT